AGAGAGAGAGAGAGAGAGAGAGAGAGAGAGAGAGAGAGAGAGAGAGAGAGAGAGAGAGAGAGAGAGAGAGCTGTTCGTCTCTGAATCTGGTGCAGAACAAAGTTCAGATTCAGAGGAGATCTCCAGTTGAAGGGGGCGCCCACTGGGTGGGAGTGGGCTTGTGGGGCCTATGGTGCAGGCCTGGGCCGCGCCGTTTTGGCTTTTCCAACTTCCAGGCCCTGGTGCCCATGCCTGTTCATTTGTCTCTCATCTCACGAGCGCTCCAAATGGCGGCCCTCCCGCCCCCTTTGCGTGCCCCCGCCCCTTGCTAAGCCGTCAAACAAAAATGCCCACCCTCCCAGGCCCTGGTGCCCGTACCTGTTCGTTTGTCTCTCATCTCACGACCACTCGAAAATAGCGGCCCTTCCGGCCCCTTTGCGTGCCCCGCCCCCTTGCTAATCCGTCAAACAAAAATGCCCACCCTCCCGAACGACCGACGTTGAACGTTGAATTGACGTTGAAGGACTCAGGGGCATAAAACGCAACCCTGACGGGCTGCGAACATACAATTCAACTGCTAGCTTGTGATCAACGAGCCAGAGACTGTCCACTGTTTGCTGTGATTACTGTTACTGTTACTGTTACTGTTACTGTTACTGTTTGGCATATTTACTGTTACTGTTAGGCCACACTCACACTAGGCCCTCAAATCGCAAAATCCCAAAATGAGCAGCCAGGTCTAGTCCTCCCTTTACAAGGACTCGATCTGGCTGCTGATTTTGTGATTTTGCGAGTTTGAGGGCCTAGTGTGAGTACGCTCTTATTAATTTATTGTTAGTATTTGGTACTGTTTGCTCCTCCATTGTTGGCAATGCCTCTCCTGCTGCCTGCTATGTTTACCATTATGGGTAAGTTTCAAAAATAGCGCGTTGGCGGTAATTTTTCACAGCAAAAATAGGGGCGGGGTCCAGTTTCGTTGCAAAAATACATCTTTTGTTGCAGCTTTACATGTCCCGGTAGTTTCACAGCAAAAGCATTTGTGGCTGGGGTCCCACTTTCGCTGCGGACCCCGACAACATTTCCGCTGGGGAACTTGGAAAACACGATATTTGAATATTTCTGCAATTAATAATTATTAACAATTACCCCTTAGCTACCGTGAGTGTTATCGTAAGAGGGGTAATTCTAAGAAGATGTACTTTTGCAGCGGGGAAACTTGGAAAACACGTCTAGTAGGCCCTAAGGTTCGACTGATTTTGTTTTGGGCTTCTTCTGTTTCTCGTTGGTTGCAGCTGTCTTGCCACAACGTCATCACAGGTAAATGGACTCCTTCATCGGAAGATGAGGCCGTTGGTCGATTACCTGGATTCGGGATGACCACACTTATAATCAATGGAAACTTGGAATGCGGCAAGGGGACAACGACTCCCCAGGAGCAGAGGCGAAAGGGTTTCTTCGACAGATACTGCACTGATCTAGGGATTGACCAAGGATCCAATCTTGACTGTGCCAACATGCAGCCGTATTAGACGAGTCCCTGTTGTACCCAACCAACCACTACCCAGCAGGCGCTCCACTCTCTGCACTATTATGGGACCAGTATGGGGACCCAGGGAGCTGATACCGCCACTGGTGCGACTGCCCTGGACTTTGCAATTGGGAGAGGGGAGGCGGGGGG